ATTCTGGGATTTCTCTCATACAATTGCAATTAACATAAATTGCCATATGTAGAAGGAATGTTTAGCGTGTAATTCCCGAGGTTATGAGCTGATGACAAAGACAGAAAGAGAGCGAGGAAGATAGAAAAAGGGGGGAATGTCACATACGTAAATCAGAGTTTAACGGACTGCAATCCCATAACGACGTCAAATATACAACAGCAACATAGAATGCAGGGAATATATCATCCGCTCATACACACACATACATACACACATACACATGGACTGAAGGATAAGAGGAGGAGAAGAAGGAGGAGAAGGAGGAGGAGAAGGAGGAGGAGAAGGAGGAGGAGAAGGAGGAGGAGAAGGAGAAAGAAGGATAATGAATGAGTGATGAATTATAGATGGCAATTAAATTGTTGGTGCGAAATGTTATGGTAGTGTATTGCATAGTGCGTCGATGTCCTGAATATTTATAAACGAAACAGAGAAATTTCGCAAGAAGGCAGACAAGTATTGACAAAAACGTAAATGCGTTAGCAAGCAGTCGTTTTTTCGTTTTTCTTTTTTGCTGAGTAGATGATAGGTAGGTAGGTATTACACTTCTTCTCTCATTTTCACTTTACTCCTCTTCTTCCTGTTTTCTTCACTTCTTAAAAGTTAACTTCTCTGTAGTCTCATTTTTTTGTCATTTTCATATCTGAAATGAGGATGACTGTGAAAGAGGTAGAAATTAAATTACATATGTGATTTGCAAATTGTCACTTATAATTTTGTGCATTAGAAATTTAGATGAATTATGGCAAGAAATTCCACATATTTATGTAAATTAGAAAAGGAACAAAAATATTAACTGTTTATTACATTTACATTTCATTTTTTGCAATATTCGAAATATAGAAATTATCCATTATTCATTGTCGTTCGTTCATCATCCGTCTACCTAATTTCAATTCATTTTAGCAAAAATAATCATTTCATGAATTATGACAATGCTTTATCTGATATCAAATGCTTACATTCTTCATTTCCCAATGATTCATTCATAAATGCTTATTTTATCTTATCAAGCAATCTTCCAGTATCGAATGTATCCCTAGATCGGATTCATCAGCTAATCGATAAGTGGTAGAGTATATTGATCTTAAGAAATTCCGATGTTTTCTCATTTGGGAGAAATGACCTTTCTACGAGTTATGAAAACTCATCGCAATATCTTGACATAACATTACATTATCTTCTGGTTCATTCTAGAAATTGCTGACGATAAACGAATACACCCCTTGCATCCTGCTCTCCTCTCCTCTTCATTTTTTGAACTCACTAAAGGGTAAAGTAGTTAAGTACCACTGAAAAGTAATAATACCTTGAATTCCTCTTTACACTTGCGCAGAGTGTATACACCGAAATCCTACCTAATTCCCCTTCCCTTTACTATATAGAGCATAAATTTCATCACTTTATTTGATTAAAGTATAAAAAACAACGAAAGGGAATACAAGTGTTATAAAACGCTTGTTTATATATTGATAGTATGATTTAATGAGATACGTACTGTACAAGAGGAAACAGTAGAATAACAAAACAAAGAAATCTGTAAAATTTTCCCTCCTTTTTTAACGGTAAAACATACAGACAAAAGATATTACGTGTTGCTAGTCTACGCCTGCTTCAAAACACATCTTCAAGAATTGCAAATAAAAAACAGAAAACAATTTTCACAGTGGCATACAAGTCCTACAACCTACAATAAGTTCCGAAACCATTCATGAACAAATGCAGGTACAAGGGATAAAAGAATAAAGTTCAGCTAATTCAATCCAGTCAATCTTGACTGAATTAAAAACGATGAGGTTAATAAAACAAAACAAAGGAAATATACATTCCTCGACAATTCTAGAATAAGAAATAACAAAATAAGGAGAAGATAAAGCAAAAACATATCTTTAGACTTTAAAATGTGTGAATGGATTCTCTTTCCCATAAAAAAATATTCAGATTTTGCATGTCATTTATATGCAAAATCAGGTAAAATTTATATGTATAAAAAATTCACCGACAATGCAACAGATAAAATCAAGTAAGATACTCAACAAAGAGCTAAAATACCGGGAAAAGAAACTTGAACATTTAAGAAAAAAAGTGCCAGAAAGCAAAAAAGATACACGTCTCGAAAAAAGGAAAAGCTTGCAGTGCACGGTAAACACAGATTCATGCTATAAAAAGTACCTCCAAATCAGCCTTAGTTTATCTATTACTATGATAGTCGTAATACTACACACCGCTAATGAATACAGCACCCTACCTCAATCATGAATTTACTTGCGACTAATATACTTGAATATAACTTTCTAGAATACTATATCAAGAATTTCATTAGGAAAAAGCCCTGATAAGTCCTGAATCATCCGGAAAAATGTCAACTTCAGAATCGTTGTCGTCGTGACATCATTATTTTTCCTGACCGAAGAGATTCGTCATTATTACACCAAAACTGCTTAAACCCGGTAATAATCATTTATTTTCATTTTTCATCGAATGAGAACCAGTAAGCTGAAACGTTATCATAATGTAATTCTAAAATTTCATAGCACCTCAATAGGGTACTAAATTAATTTACTTGTAGTGCTGTCATGAGTATGCTTAATTTCTAAAACTCCATATAACCTTTAAATATTTTACTCATTTATAATGGCGGAACATACCTGAACAGCCCTAACAAGAAATTTCTAAAATTATATAGAAGCTATATTCATAGAACCCACAATTCTATCGCCATTTATTATTCCTGTATTTCAAGCAGAAACTGGGAAATCGATTCTAGTAATATCGTGAAACAAAAAAACCATGAACTGAAATTAAAAATGTACTTAGCCACAAAAAAACATACCAATGGGACAGAGAAAATTCTCGGCGAATATGGAGAAGCCACTGATGGCCGATCATAATCCGGTACAGATATGGATTCACCATTATTCGAACTCAGTTGATCGTCATCAAAAGCATAATATAGAGCTGCAGGACTTGGTGCAGCAGACACTGACTGAACACTTTCTAGTAAACTCAGACTTTCCCCAGAACCAGTAGCAGACGGGGCAGTGCTTGCTGCTGGAAGTTTGGAATGACTAGATCCTGACAATTTGGATGCTGTTGCTGCTGATTTTGCGGCCACATAATCCCTAAAAAAACTATACATCCCAGTTGTTGATAGAAAACATCTCTAATTCCTCATCAACGAATCAAGTGCTTTTTTCATTCTCAACCGTATTGTTGACTATCGTTTGAAAAATGAGACGAGGAAAAATTAAATTAGAAAAATTAATGCTCAAAATAATTTAAAATCCATTACAAATCATTACAAATATAAAGCAAACCTGTACTGTTGGAAACGTTTTCGTTCATTTAATTCGTATGGCAGATGTCGTCTTGAAATGTTTGCTACACATGAACATTCTGCCAGATGCATACATCCTGAATTTTCCTCCGACACTAGTTTTAGTGGTTTTCGTTCCCAGCTAGAAGTAGCATAATCATCTAAATCATCTAGTTCTTTATAGAAAGCAACAAACATGTCAAAATGAACATTAGTGCCTGCAAACACTAGTTGGAATTTATACCATCTAATAAAAAATTCATTCCCACATTTGCTGCATTCTTAAACTACCCAAATAAATAATACAGAAGAAGGGAAAACATGATTTAATTTGAAAATTTAAAAAACCCTAAAAAAGTACATACTGTGGTATACAAATTTCCTTATAATCAATTTTCTGAGGAAGACCGGGCATTGGTTCCACGAGTCCATCTTCCACATCATTTGCGCGAAGCAGTCGAAGTCGATGATTAGAAAATCTGCGGTTCCGAAAATCTCCGTTCCTCTTCCGGTCAAGTGATCTTCCTACAAGGTTTTGTCCGGCACGTTTTAATGTTGACGGCCGTTTAGACTAAAAACATGGATATTAATTAAACTGTGCTTAAATTAATTTAATAGAATAGTTTAAAAAATGAAAATCGGTTCAATGTAATGACAGGAACCATATTATTATTTTCCAGGATATTTATTTACTGTAACACCGTGCTAAGGATAAACATCTAATTATTCCGTCCGATTGATTGTTAATGTCAAAGTAATCATTCACCGTCTCTTTAACTCAAAACTTCAGGGACATCAGCGAATTCTACACTCTTTAGTTATGGTCAGTTCCCACCACAAAGTCATGAGAGGTTCGAAAAAGATAGGCAGAAACAATTCAACAATTACATATGAGCTTCGTTGGGAATAATTTGTAGAAGGTTGGTATTCTTCGTCATCATCATAACTTTCATCGCTTTCACTTCTCTCTCGTTTCCTTCTTGTTTGCCTATCATCCACTATAACCGCTTCCTTCACCATCACCTTTCGTTCCTCCAAAAATGTAGTCCATGAAGAGCGATCAAATCTAAAAATTTTGTAATTGTAAGAACTACTGTAATACAAATTAACAATTACACAAATGTAAGGATTCATACCTTTTACGCAAATGTATAACTGGACGAGTCGATCTTCGGCGGCAGTAGACTTCAGCTCCACGCTCCATGGGCATTGCTATAAAATGAAATTTGTATTCTGAATAATTATTTAATAGATTATTATTTGAAACTCAACTTTTTTTCTTATGTCGACGTGTGATCAATAAATTAAAATCCTATCTCAAAATATGACAGTGTAATAAAACGCGAATTGATAACTATAAGCTACATGTACTATTGATCAAATAATATTCAATAATTATATGTTTCAACTTCCAGATCAGTTAAAGTGACATTGAACACATTCTTAATCTTAATCTCCCTAAGAGTTTTAACGACAATCATAAGAAAAAGACCTGCAAGCAAAGAAAATGGAGGATAAACTCGGTTATCCACAGTAGCGTATGCCCTCACGCGTTCTCCAGTATGCAATGATATAGGAGTTTCATGTTCAATAAGACTATTTTTTCCTATCCTTTCCACTCTAAAAAATATATATATATATATATATATGTATTGTACAACAATATAATACAATCAGGTATGATAGTTGAATTTGTTTTATTCAAACGAAATACAGAAATTTCATGTATATTTGTATATATGTATAGAAGAAGATTTGTATAAGAATTGAAAACAAACTTTCTCCTTTTCAGAAAACGTCTTCTTTTGCCATCAAATGGTAAGCATCTCGCACAACATTCTTTCAAAGCTTCATCGTTCCATGAATATACTTTTTTCTTTTGTATTCGAATATTATTAAGCTGCAATGCACATCATTCTAAGCTTTTCAAAAAGTCATTTATGGATCACGAATTAGCAAATTTTTTTTAGGATTATCTAGAAATATCAGATATAAATGTTTCATGCACAACCAAGAAAATAGATCCCTTATTACATCAGATTAAGTATTTGGCATAAGGGCATTCCATTACGTAAATTAGGGTGGAAGACTTTCAACTCAGTTGTATATTACAAATATTGTAAAGCGATTCCTTATCATACCATGTATCACTAGCAATTAACATTAAATGCAATCAAAAGCTCTAATGAAAATAACTTCAATCATTTAAGCAACTAAGAACATGCAATATAAAATGATAAAATGGAAATGGACCTGACGATATACGAAATTTATTTTTTCTTCACAATCTTCTTCTATACAAAGCGCTTTTGCATCCAGCGTACCCAAACTGACTCGCTCATCGAAGTACGCATGGGACGACAAGCTCCTGAACAGATCATCTCAGTTCTGAATTAGAAAGCAAGCTCAAATGTATATATACATTAAATATAAATACCCAAATGACAAATAAGCGCTCGATGTTGATGGCATCTGTCCCTCAGTATCCTCGTCACTATCTTCAGATTCGGTTACATCCGCATCCATGATATATTTCATTAATCGTCTATCCGATTCTTCAGATATTCTAAAATATAAAGAAAATGATTCCAATGACAAATGAAACAAATAGATATCTACTATAACTTTTACATAATCTTTGTTTATGGATCTTGAACAAATGCTTGTATATATCGAACACTCAGTGTCCTTACATAAACACAAAATTAAAGGTCATATTTCTATAATGAAATGACCTTCTCTACAGAATATTCAACTCCATATGCCATAATAAAAATACTCTAACATATCAAAAAAAATACAACGAAAGCGTACGGATTTCGAGCATTCTGAATCAGTTTCTCAGTAACAGGAGCTGAACTATCACCGAAAACGTGATCCGAAACTTCTTTTGACAGAAAATCATTAAGCGCAAAGTGATTTTTGAAACGTTGCAGTAAATTAACTAGCTGACTAAGATGAGCACGTTCCAGCTGAAAGTGTGAAAATGAGAAATTCTTAGAGCAATTATTGTTAAAATAAAATAAAGAGCGAATTCAGAATCACTGTAGAAACCCTCTGTAAAAATAATGAACTTGGTACGAGCTAAAAGCAACATACATGTGGTACGCTCAATGCCAGACCATTCTTGTCACGTAATTTTCCAATTTTTTCTTGCAATATTTTCCTATGTAAACCATCTTTATAGTCCATAACAGTGCTAAAAAATTTCGAAAAACTGCAAAAGATAGAAAGAACACAAAAAATGATCAAACAGAATAATATATAACAATTCGACTTTCAAAGTGATTACAAGAGGAATTAAAAAGATAGCTTTAGCAAATAACAAGAAATAACCGAAATAAGTTCAGCAGCAAGTAAATTTGACTTCAATTTTCTAAAAAATGGATTTAGTCATTATATCTGACTTATAGCCTACTTATATTCCCCCACTAATAATAAAGAGCAGGTTACTGAAAGAAACTGAAGAAAACTGTAACCGTCCGAAGTTATTTGCAGTCGAAAATATCAAACCATATTTTATGTTCTGAGCGGCATATATTGATAAAATGTAGAACATTGTTTTGCGTTTCGCAATGGAAAATATAATCGATTAAAAAAGGCATCTAAAAACAGAATTTGCATATCTGTAAGCGACTTACTTCGCACTAATTTTTTTTGGATAACTTCGTTTCGTTGTAGTTCTCGGTTCACTTATATCACCTTGCACTGGTTTTCGCAATAAATCCAGCGCTTTATTCAAAATTTGCTCACTAGGAATTTGCAAATGATCTTCGCCGGCATTTACGGTTGGTATTGATGAGGATGGCGCGAAATGTGCACTCATTCGTTCTTCCTAAAATCGACACCTTGTTTCATCCACTAATGGTGAAAGCAAAAGTATTTTTTATTCCATTCAGCATGTAAAAGTTCAGTTTGCAATTTTTTTCTCAGTCCACATTCATCAGTCGTTTAACCATGTACCTGAATTTTTTGTTTCTTTTGTTGCGGTTCCTTTACATCGGCGGATATTTCCCGTCCTGAACCCACCACTATCTCATTGGCATTAGTAAGCACTGAAGTTTTGTGTGAACCGGAGAGCTGTGAACGTTTATTAATTCGAAATGGCAGTGGCGTTTGAGCCAACATAGAACCGTAATGATTTGGCGATAAGGGAGCCGTGTTTATCAGCGATCGCCGAGGTACTTCTTGATGAACATCAACTGTAGGAAATGGGTCTTGTTTAAGATTAATGGGAGAGATCTGTCGGCTCAAATCCGTACTACCGACATGTTGGTTTTTGTTCCCAGGAGGCAAAGAAATGGAAAGTTGCATTGTGACATCCTGTAAAGAAAAACATAAATAAACTTGCTCAAAGTAATCAGACATTTGCCACTCTTCATCTTAGCAAACCTTTGCAGTTTTTCTTTACAAAAGTGTTTAAAATTTTTAGCTACTCCATATTGTACATAGCTTATTAATATACTGTGTTCTGACAAAGCTTTTATATTATTTGTTCAATGAAATGTCGCACAGCTGGGATCCGTTATCCATTCATCGCATTTTAAATGAATCAGAACACAATGTTCTACTAGGGTTCTCAAAAGAGATAATATCGTAACTAAAATGCTTCCATTGATACGTAATTCAGGCCATTTGTCCTTAGCAGCTCCCATACACAGTTTCCTCTCGGATTATTTGAAATATTTCCAAGATACTTGCGTCCTTTTTGTTGTATTTGAGTACTCAGCTATCACTTTACAATTACCATGATTACGTTTCGTAAGAGCAAGATAACTAATGGTATACAAAGTGATCATATACCAGTAACACTTCCTTTTATATAATAATGTCCTAGGCAAAATACCTTATCAGGTTCCTTTGCTTCATTAGTAGCAACCTGACTCGAGTTTTCCATATCAATTGATGTTTTCAGATTATATTTTCCATTTAGTAAGTTCAATGCTTGATCCTTCTGCTCATTACCAGTCTGTTTTGACGCTAGACCTTCTTTTGAGGTAGACGGTTCAGGATCGTGAGGACAATTATTGGAATCAAAGCAACGATCCTCCAATGGCTGTTCTGCAGTCAACATTGTGTTTGTACCATTTGTTGAACAAACCTAGAGAACTATCACACGTCGCTGCTGTTCATTTATAAAACAAACATCATTGAACAATAAAGGATTCACTTGCCATTTCTTGACTGATTTAAATGAAGATATTGAATTTTTATAATAGCTTCTTTGTTGAATTTATTTCTCAGCGTTGAAAGCGCAGAAAACAAATGGATGCGTAAATGCATCAAAACAAAAACAAAAGGGTAAGAAAAATTTTCAAAAGCTCTAGAAAATTTACGAAAGAACAAAATATATTCTGCACCCTGAATAACAATTCCATTTATACTATTCAAAGAAAGGAAAAAAACTCATTTTTGTATTGCTAAAATAATTTTAAATAAATGTGAATTGACCTCATTTCCCCTTAACTGATGAGTTGAAAATACAAAAGGATCGGAAGGCACATCATCGTGAGCTTCAGACAATTGCATTCCATGCCTTAAATTTGAGTGTTCAGAAGAAAGAGTATCTTTCACTTCTGGCGGTGACATATTACGGTCCAGAAGCAATGAAGAAGGACGCAAAGTTGTTGTGATCTGATCGTTACTCATATCAGCAGCCTCGTCATCACAATTATTTTTGATACTACGCATCTGAAATCTCATTTTAAACCTAGTTGTTACTAAAAATTGCCCTGCTTCTCAACTATTCCACTCAAATGACTATATTCTTTTTATTTTCCATCCAACTTGCAGTCGCAAATATAAAAAGAGAAATTTCTAATACTCAAAATCTAAAAATGTTACATCGTTCTTCATGGGGAAAAATTTCGTAACAATCTTTCTACAGGCAAAATAAGTAAACAAATTTGTTCAACAAAGTTAAGACATTATCCTGGATTACGACATAAAAAGAACCAAAAAGATTACAATGAACTGTTCACTATTAACCGGCGTTGCTGATATATCAATCACAGTTCCGAGTCCCATTGAATTCTCCTTTCACCCACCGCCGCCTCGACATAACACAAATTCCTCCGTATATTCTGTACGACCTCCAAAACTAAATTCGTACGTCCTGAAATAACAGGACCAAAAAAATTTAGGCGTGAATTCACTATAGAAATAACACGAGTTATTAGAGGACTTGGAATCGCATAATAATACTGTAAGAATTGATGAGACATACAAAAGTGATTTCAATCTGACGAAAGAAACAGTTATTGAAGAAAGTGAACGTAGCAAAGTTGAATCAATGCAAATATTTTCACTCTGGGTGCATCATATAATGAACAACATAAAAGAGATAAAGCCACATCGCCCAATGAATTTACAAGGAAACACAATAAATCATAATATGGTAAATGGAAAAACTATTTTCCATTGGATTTTTCTTTGCAAATGCTCTGGAAATATCAGCAAATTCCAATTATCAAATAGATTTAAAAAACGAAAATTTTGCTTACCACGAAAAATCCAAGCGCATCTGTGTCGATAATATAATGTAGTTGGAAACTCCACTGGCGACTACATTTTAATCAACTATAGAAAGGAGTGCGCATTGAAAATGTCACTTTGGTCATAAATGCTTATAAATAAAATATGTGTGCGATCTTGTCTTGATATTCGACCATTCGAAAATATCCTTACAGTCAATTATTTGCGACAAATACAAAAAGTCCCTCTACTGAATTTTAATTATATTTTACTCACATGCTTTCGATATAAGGAAAATCTTTCGTAATTAATTACTTAATTCTCAATATATCCTAATTTGATCTTTTCGTACCAACTCACAATAAAATTAAGGCAAATGTCAGAACCCCAAGTGTAAAGAATCTTTCCATATTTCTGAAACCACACATGTTGACTAAATCTTCTGCGCTTGTATCCGCCAACGATGTTCATTTGTCTACTCTTATTCCTATATTACCTTATACGACTTCCACATTACCAGATTATATTTAGCAATTTAATGAAGTAAACACAAAGAGAACAGAAGTTCGATATTTCCTATTATCTTGCTGCACTTCATTGCACCAAATGAATCAATAAGCCCATATAACTAACAAATCTACTTAGACAACCATATATCAAACCCTGTATCATTACAATACCATTCCACAAAAACTAAGGTACACAATTTTTCGAACAATATTTAGCCAATATAGCTAAATGTTTGAAAAAAGCAATTACACACATATCAACTACCATAAAATTTGCATAAGTGAGAGATTTGTCCAAAAGAGGAAGTACCGCTTCTCATGCAAATTTTATGCATTTATTTGCAATATCTCATACAAATCCCATGCATATGCTCATTAAATAGGTACATCATCAAAGTATGAACAAACGGAGATGTAAGTATAGGACAGACATATATGATCGATAGATTCATCAAAAGTTTATAGTTAATATAAGTGATATAAGGAATTATAAACAGCGGATGATATATAATAGCTATGACTCACATAAACAGATAGTGAACCATAGCTAAACGATAAATGAGAAGTTTACATGGTGTTTCCGAGAACTGGTCACAAATGCGAATCACCAATAAGCAATCAGACCGGACCAACATGTGGTAATATCTCCAACTGATGCAAATGGGAAGCGACCGTGCGGAACAGACGAATCATCCAACTAGCCTTGCCGCACCGCCGCTCCTAGCCTCCCATTGATGCTAATGACGACGCGACGCGACGCGGTTCTGTATGTATGCACATATCTACTACACCTGCGAAAGAGCATAGAATATAGAGAGTATAACAAAGAAAGAGGATGTTGCGAAAGGACCAGGAAACAATGAGCACGGTGAGAGAGTGTGGAGAAGAGAAAGAGAGGGAGACAGGGAGGAAGAACACGCCTCGCACAATGCGCACAACGCCCGCACACACTCCATTTCACACGTCAGGCAGCACTTCCATCTTACCCGCTGACTTTTGAATATGTGCATCGCGGGTCTTACAACGATTAGTACCGTATCCCATAGATTTCTATTTGCACTGTGCTATGAAGGATTGCTTGAGGGGGAAGTGGTGAGTGGATTAAGTGCTGGATGGAGAGTCCCGAGTTTTCTCGTCAGATTTATACAGGTTTCATATGATCACTTATGTTACCACACGTTGCAGAAGTTTGATATGAAGTAAATCTCGAGATGGCTGTGTCAAACGCAAAAGAGAAATATGCTGACTTCCTGGTGGATGGTGCTCAAGCAGTATCACTAACCTTTGGTGAGTCTTGTATTTTACTTTTAACTGTTTTTTCTAATGCCGTTGCTATGCTTACTGATCGACTTTTCAGTGTCCGATATGAGCGAAATGACCACAGCGCAAAGGCATCATCCCGAATACGTCTACCAGCACTTCGGAGAGAAGTAAATTATTGCACATTTTGCGCTTATTATTACTCGGTGTTTACGCATTCCTTATCTCTGTCACATATTTTCGAACACACTTTACTTCAGCACTTTTTCTCTCAATAAGCAATTCTTTCTTTATATTCCTGTGAAGCCAACTACCTATGATTGTAATTCTTGAAATGCATTTTAGTGAAACAATATTTGGTTACAAGGACTTAAACATCACTATATATTATACCGATGCATCTATGTATTTCTACCCTGAAATTAGTTATACAGCCAAAATAACAACACTCACAACGGAGTTCAAAGTTCGTTCTACTTTCATTTTTAACTGTCTTAGATTTGTATGTCATGTCATTTCTTTTTCATTTTAGGCTGACAATATAGTTCGAAAATTAAGCGAACAGCTGCCAGCTGAACAAATGGAAATATTATGCCAGACAAGCGCTATTTTCAAGTCTCGTTTAGATGAACAGAAAAATTTTCGGCCTTATGGACAGCTTCTTTCCAAATTCACTGCTGGTAAGTAATCTGCGTTCTCAACGTTGATTGAAATGTAGACATTTTCAACTTAAATTGAAACCCTGTAATAATTGGATGTAGTATACTCTATGTTATTAGGATTTCCTGGTGAATTCAGTTCTGCGATTTAAATTTCTGAAGAGTGTATTGTTCGTTCAAACACAGATGTTACTATTTGGATGATTTTAATAATTCACTGATTGCGATTTTTTATTATAGTAGTTATTGTTTGATTAAAAAATTGCAATTTTCCCCATATTTTTTATTTCTTTTCTGGAATGACAGTTAAGTATTTGATAATTGATTTTGGATTTCCAAATAATTTTGCATTGGAAGGCAACTGTTAATTGGTATAAATTTCTGATAGTTTAGGTAGTCGAGAGCTGCAGGTTTGGATGGTTAATGAAAGTTCGCCCGGATTTGATGCATATTTAGCCCGAGTTCAGACTCTTGCTTTGTGGTACATTGAAGCTGCACAGTACACAGATAATGATGATCCACGGTGGCAGCATTATTTCCTGTTAGTTTTTGTGGTATGTTATCAAACGTTTTAGACAATCGCTTGAATGCTTTATGCGTTTCCAATTCTTAAGCTGATATATATCATTTTGAATCTGAGCATATTCCAGTCATAATATTACTGTAGACTGAATAAAGTCTGTGCAGTCTTAGGTACAGAGTGATATACATGCTGCTTGATTCATTTACTAAGCTATTTTTTTGACCGTTTGCAGGGTTTTTTTCAGATACGAATCATTTAAGAAAGATAATGGAGTTTCGCGCGTAGCACTTGCGGGGTATGCATCACTTGTCAGGTTTTATCATTATCCAGATAAAATTCGACCTAGAATTGCCCAGATTTTACTGCAGCCACATTATCAGGGCGTTGGTATTGGTGCTAAATTTTTGAAGGCAATATATAACGATTTAATCCAAGACCCGAAGGTCGCAGACATTACAGGTTGGTATTAGTTTTGACATTCTTCTGCAGTTAGAAGTTACAGAAATATATAATAAATGAAGTGGTCTGAGGGGCGGTATTTTATAATTCTCGGAATTGGCTGTCGTTTGTATCTAATAATGTTTTTCTCTCACATTAAAATGATGCATCCTTTTCCTTCCTGACTCCCAATTTATACAGGAATTTTTCAAATTATTTAGTGATAATATCACAGGTTAGTTTCTTTTTTGTTACTTATTTTCAAGTGGCATCGCCAATTAAATGGTTTTCGGCAATTTTTACATTTTTTTCTCGTTTCAAAAATATTTTTCAGCGGAAGTTCCTGCAGAATCTTTTATAACAACTCGAGACTATGTGAATTGCTCTAACTGCATAACACTAAAGGAATTCCATGCAGATAATCTAAAAAAAGGTTTCACAGAGGAGATGAGAAATGCTGCCTTATTACGGTTTAAAATAAATCCAGTAAGTTTATTCATGATGAAGCCGTTTTGTTATTTATTTTTTTCTGTGATCAAATTTCGTATAAAGTCACTATGTTCACACATAGAGACATTGAAAAGTTACTTAATTTTTTATTTTGCCTGTTTGCTTCAGTGACGTAGCGGACAGATTTCGTTTGCTAAAGCTTAAATTAACTGTTCTAGAAACAGGCACGGCGTGTTTATGAAATATTGCGTTTACATCATATTGGTGTTCGAGATGAAGAAGCCATGGAAGCATATCGATTAGATGTCAAGAAAAGACTTGAAAAACCTTTTAAAGTCAGTTTTTTATTTTAACTGAAACATGCCTATAGCCAAAAATGAACATGTAGTAAGTAATGTTTTCAAGGACATCTGTATAAGATAAGACTATATTTTTCACTCTGCTGAACTTTTTTTTAAAAAATTCTATTTCGAATGTTATTATTTTGTTTTTTATTTGATCTTAAGTAGGAAAGACATGTAAACTGTAGGCAAAGTAAAAAAGCCGTCTTTTTGTTTTTTTATCCTGATATGCGAGGCTCTTATTTCTTCAAATGCAGTTGTGTTTATAGCGAAGTGAACGTGACTGGAGAAAACTGTCAAGCGTTTTGGATGAATATGAGTATGCAGCAGTGGTAGCTAGTCAGATGAGTGCAGAGCAAAAAACAGCTAAATTGGATCAACTTTATGAAGAAGAACTAGCAGGCTATCGAGCTGTTATTAAACGATTGATCAATTTTGCTAGTGGTTAAATACATCGGTTCTTTCCTGTTGTTTCTCGATACATAATTGATTTTTCATTCGTTTTGCCTTAGGTATGAAAATACTTGAAAACCTCAGTGAAGTGCGATAAACAATTTTTGACTAATTCAGACATGCAGGTTTACTTTTCCTAAGCGCATTTCTTGAATCGAATTTTCAAGTATATTCCTAGTTTTTATCAAAATTAGTTTGTTTTATGAGCTTTGGATTACTTATGATGGTAGTGGTTGTATTTTCTTCCATGTTTCACATTAATTCTTGAATAGTCACGGGTTTTCCAGATACAGAGATGCAAATATATGTCGAATCTCATTTTTTATATATTCAATAAATGAAATCTTGCACATATTTTAATCACACATTCATACTACTATTATAATGAGGCTCATATGATTTTGTAATGTGTTCAAGATGAAAAAATATATATTTTTTGATTCAAATATCCGACCCAGTCTTCATTAGAAATGAAACATAGAATAAGTTATGTCAGTTCACTTTCGTCTCTGAAATGAATACCGAAGATGATACTATGTAGTCAAATTGTTATAAAGCTTGATAAATTGTATCAAAACTTCATATCCACAGGAAGCTGCAGTTTCTTAGTATCTGATTTCAATTCTGCAGAAGCTCATCGCTATTAAACATGTTTTACATGTTTTATATAGTAGGATGTTATACTGGTTTCCATAAATCGTTGTCCTTATATCGTTCAGCATACATTTCCAGGAGATTGAGCTTATTTTAGCGGTTGTGTATGTAAGTTACATTATATCTTCCATTGAAACGTGATTTGCATTATGGGCAGGTCGTTCACGTGGTTTGCATACAAAAGGAACACGGAGTGCAGCGTAGGGTGAGTAGGTAGTAGAGGTATATAGGGTTCACTCCTGAATTCTTTTATAAAAATGAAGAGGTGAAATATTCTCGGGAAAGTTTAGTTTAGGAAGCGTGTGTGTGTGTGTATGTGTGTGTGTGTGTGTGTGTGTGTGTGTGTGTGTGTGTGTGTTTGTGTGTATGTGTGTGAAGATCATAGACAAGAAAAACTAGGAGTACTGATAGGAACTGTACATTGTGCTGTTGAATCATTGGTTAGAGAGAGTCAAGAAAAATAAGAAAAAAAATTGCACAAATCGGTAAATATAATGGGAATGTGTAAAGTTTTTCTTTTATTACGTATCGTTGGTAAAAAAGAAAACACACACACACATACACACACACACACTTCCTCATAATTTTGAAAGAAATAGATGAAATTCTGAAAGATTTTGCATCTAAAAAGCATTCTATTGATTTTGACATAAGCTGGTAGGATTTGCCTGAATATCGAACATCCTTGTATCCTTCTTAATTTTCCAGCGGAGAGATCTTTTTCCTTCTCAGAGAGAAATAACTTTAGCTCATATAATTAAAAGCAAAGCATTGAGGATTTGTATCAAAAAGTCGGATTCGTTTTGGATGAATACATCAAATATGTCTTGAATGATTTCAGCATTTAATTTTGGTCAAAGACAAGCATAGTAATTATAGGGAAAACTATAATTACTATGCTTAAACGATGGAGATTATGAATTGCATGAAAGATAATGATGATTCATAAGTATTTTAGATACGAAGATGGTTCTCATTGGAGCGGCAATTATAACAAGGACAGGAAAACGTAAGCTTCTATATCCATCGTTATATTTGTATAAAATGTTTCGAATATTTCTGACGTCTGTACTAGGAATCTACAAATTGGGAAACTCTTTTGTGTAAATTTTTCATCATATTAAATTTCTTTGGTTTATGAATTTGAGATCTGTTCACATCTCATTTGATTTATGTTTCTGTTTGTCAGTTATGCTGCTTTTTTAGCGCTTTTGGCAAGGGTTTTCATCTCGGACATGACAAAAGCTCGGTTAGAAGGATTGCTAGATGCTTTTCCTAAGCTAATCGCTTCTGACAAGTGTGAGTTTATATCTTAATCAGAGGGTAATCCTATTTCATTTCAAATAATAATCATGATTGAGATTTTGAACTGCATCAAACTGTCTTTACTCTCGTCGTGGAAATGGGACACACTACTAATTGAAATGTGAATGTTTTTTTTAATTGCACAAAGGACTCGGTCCCTGTTGGCTTTTATGTAGTCAGAAAAATTTATTTATTTTAGCACAGCGTCAGCATACTTTCATTGAAACAGATAGTGTGCGTTATGTTTTCCATCCACTGGACAGTGTATATGTTGTCCTGATCACCACCAAAGCATCAAATATTCTAGAAGATTTAGAAACTCTTCGACTGTTTTCAAGAGTGGTTAGTCATCTTATAAAGTGGTGAGGAACACTCTTGCTGATTAGTAATTTGTGAAGGTAATTTTGAGAAATATAACTGAAATATAAATAGATATTACTAAAAAAAAATATATGACGAACAAAAGGTAATTTACTGGCTATACATTTTTCAAAGCAGCTAGGATTTATTGTTTGTAAGACATCGCTGTATCTATTTATTTCTCAATATTATTTCTATGAGTTCAAGTTTCCAAAATTTGTTTGTAAATTATATTTCAGATTCCGGAATACTGCCGCTCGAATGATGAAAAAGAAATGCAAGCAAATTTATTCGATCTCATATTTGCTTTTGATGAAATTGTTGCTCTTGGATATCGTGAAAATGTCAACTTGGCACAGATACGTACATTTACGGAAATGGATTCTCATGAGGAACGAGTTTTCAATCAGATAAAGATCGTAAGTTTTTTTGAGGATGTCTGCTCATATTAATAAAATTAAGTGATAGGAATAACACTCGTCATATCATTCATCCTTTTTATAGGCTCAAGAGCGAGCTGCTAATGAACTGATGACGCAAAAAGCCATGGAATTGAAGAAATTGAAGGCAGAACAGCGAAAATCTGGAAGAGGTATTTTATTTTTATAGCTTTCTAATTACGTACTATTTTTTGCAAGAACTCTTTGTACATTTTGTTCTTAATACGTGAATGGTTAGGTCTAGAAAGCAGCGCAACAGCTATTAGCTCGTCATCGGTACCTTTAACGGCAGTTATCGATGATACATCTGTGCGGCTAGCTGTAAAACCAAAAGCACCAGCAACTACACGTGGAAGCGGAAAAGCGTTGAAACTTGGCTCTAAAAATACTGATGATGACCAATTTTTAAAACAGCTAAGAAAAGAAGGTTGGTCGGATATATAAATTAACAAAAGATAGGAATATCATTAATACAATTTGGATAGTTTTTGCAGCAATGTAAGATAGGAATTCAGGTATGCCAACATTAAGCACTATTCCAAATATAAAAATATGCTGACGGTAATGAAAAATATGTGCTTGATATCTGAAAAGTAGAATAATCTTTTTACTAGTCTAATACTTTTTACTAATCTAATACTTCACATACTTTCCTTATCTTATAGCTGAGTTATAGCTGAATTGACTTGTTAGTATTTGGTCCCAACAAAAAATAAATTAGAATGCTAGGACATTCTTTTCATTTTGTCATAATCAAACAGTATGCATAAAAGTCATTGCACTTCGTCTCATTATATAAAATATTTTGTTTGAGGACAAGTAGTTGATACGCCTTTACGTGCATCAGACATTGCTGACGCAACTGGTCGAAATGCATCGGGAATCGGTTCCGTTTTTACCACTTCACACGCTCCTGTTCATATTAAAATTGAGGAAAAACTGTCAGCATCAGTATCGCGAGATGGTGGCCTTGTGAGTGGAGAGGTACATTATAAATTCTTAAATTTAAAAATTTTTTGGAAAAAACATTGTATTTTGTAAAAAAGTGTGGTGATAGCGCGTTATGAATTAATGTTTTGTATTCTGTTTAGCAACCTTAGTGTAAGATTGTATTAAATATTCGATTTTTTGCAACAGTTTAAATCAGATTCTAAGACTGATCAGGGACAAGGTAACGGTGTCAAGCTAAATTAACGCTTAATCGCGCTACGTAACGTAATCATATGGTCACTTTATTCCATTTTTTATTGTGTCATCTTTGACAATAATTTTTCTTTCTTCTAAAGGTACTGGGTAGTGCTTCACTTTTAATAAACGGTCCACAGTTTGCTACTGTTTGTGTTCAAATCAGTAACAATGACAAACATGGTGCGCAATTACAGGTAAATAATGAAATATAAAATATTTGTGACATTATGTCTTTTAGTAATGATACAGACTAATCATCTATTTAGGTGCATCCGAATCTCGACAGAAAAGAATGGCTGCAAAAATCTTTGTTAAAATTGAAATCAGTGCAGAAGCCGTTTCCAGTAAATATGGATGTTGGTGTACTTAAGTGGCGACTACTTCTGAATAGCGAAGAAATGCTCCCCATTTCAAGTTTGTTTAAATTCTGCAGAAAACTGTTATGATAACTATCTTATTTTAGTTCAAATTCGAAAAATTTTTTTACTAAGTTTTGCGTTCTGCAGACAATATCAATTACTATTCAATAAAAAATACTAAAATTTTTCTGATTTCAGCATGCTTACTGTATTCAGCAAAACATCAAAAAATCTATCTTCTTTGTATTCAAACTATAATCAATAAATAAACAGAAAACGTAGACAAGGAATTATTAGAAGAATTATCCCTATAAATCAAAAAGTTTTGAATTTTAGTCAATTGCTGGCCAAATGAAAATCCTGATGGCTGTGTAGTGAACATCGAGTATACGCTTCAGGCTGAAAATATGGCACTGAACAGCGTTGTTATCATCATTCCTTTACCGTATGTGTTTCACAAAATTTTTCATTGCTTTGGATTAAAATTTATGATACAACAAATGCGATATATATTATTTGTGTTGAAGAATTTTGCGAACGTTTTGCAGACCAGCAGCTGTTCCAGTAATATCGGAATGTGAAGGTACTTATGAATATGTAAAATCAAGATCGCAGCTTGTATGGAGTTTACCTGTTATTGATGAATCGAATAAAACTGGTTCTTTGGAATTTAGCACTCCAAATGGCCAAGCTAATCATTTTTTTCCAGTAACTGTTCGGTTCAGTAGCACAGATTTATTTTGTAATATGGCTGTAAGTTTGATTTCTTTTTTCGCTTTTTCCTGAACATTCCAAAATTGTATGATGTTGGTAGGATTTTTGCTCGTAAATGCTTTTCATAGTTTGTAAGGAAAATGAAAGCAGTCTTTGAGTACACTAATATTGCTGTAAGTCAAAATAGGAACTTTTCAATTTTTGGAACGGTTGCAATAACGTATCAGAATTTAAATAGCATTAATATTTTTCTATTTTATTAATGAGCTACGGTCCGCCTTATTTTTTCGTTTATAGGTAGAGTCAGTACAGAAAATGGATATAGGGGAGACGATACAGTATTCAACAGAGAATCATCTGATCACAGAGAAGTTCGAAATAGTCTGAAGATTTTTAAGTTGCGAGTTTTCTTATATTTTGTTTAAATTAGTGACTAATTTGTTTACTTGTGATGATCAGTATGATTAAATTGCTATTTAACTTCAAATTATGTTTTTTACTGGATAAATTTAGTTATTTATAATTTATTGTTTGGAGGGCAGTTATATTTTATACATGAGGAACTTCAGTATTTTATCTTTTTTATTGTTCTTCCCAGTAGACGGCTCACTTGTTATTTCTATCCGGCGCACTTTATTATGATAATATGCTGTTCTGTATTTTTAAGAATAAAAGTAAATATTGGGTTAGTTTTTGTTTTCAACATTGTCTTTATCGATACGATAGTTAATAGTGTATTGCGCGAGCACTGTTTAATCCAACTTTTTTTCCCAATATCATCAGATATTTGATTCGGCTTTACAAGTAGAGTTACCTTTTGGTCGGGCGTATTTCTTAAAATGCTCTTGACATTTTTCTTCATTAGAATTGCTTATTCTTAATTTGGTAGGAGTTTTTTCGTTACTGAAAAAATATTGTGGGAAATTAGAGTAGTTATTGGGATTATGATTGTATTAATATTAAAATGGAGGATATAAAATAGCTGATGTTGTAATAAGGATTACTTAGTTCTTAAGTTGATTCCTACTCAATTGCAGAGATTAATTAGTAGAGAGATGCAACTGCTATCGAACATCATTATTTTATGGCGAAAGAACATTTGTTTTTGTGGATTTTTTTTATAGAAAGTTTTCGGTTAGTAGAAGAAACATTTATGGCGGAAAACTGTGTGGAAGTAGGTTTGGTAACACATATCAATGGATCTCAAGTCTTTTTATGGTTGATGGAGGCTCGCGAAGAAAAACTTTTCGCAGCAGTGATGAAGGAAGATATGCTCAAGGTAATTGAATTGTTATAAAGAAATATTAGTTACATATATATTGCAAACGTTAATAGGAAAATAAAATTCATAATTTTCATAATGGAACTAATTCAAAAGCATATCTAGACTTTGATCATTCCAATAAATTTATATCGCAGTAAATGCAAGATAAACACACAATAAAAGTTTCGATGGTACGGATGAACTACATTATTAAATCCAATGCAAGTGTTATTTATTACTTTTTTTTAGTATCTGAACTGAATTTCGTTTATAATTTAAGTTGGGAGCTTGGATACATCTCAGTAAAATAGATCTTGAAACATCTCAAATTGGCTCTGTTATGCTAGTAGATACACCACCGGTGAAGGCATCGATTTGGACTTATACCTCAGGTATCGAAAAGGTAACACTGCAATTCCTTTATGCCATTCTCTTATTGACTCCACATGTTGTTTAATTTATTTTTATAAATGTAGTTTTAATTGTTAAGTAGAAATTATGAATTGTCAATGAATAATGTGTTAATGAGGAGCATTGTTACATCCGTTTGCAGACAGTGTTAGTAGAAACGAGAGTAGTATTTTCACCGATAGAATGGGCTAAGAAAAATGATTATGAATGGTTTGCGTATAGCCTTGAGTTTGGCCGAGTTGGTAATTTCGCTTTCAATAAACTGTTGAAATTGAACAGTTTTCAAGTGAGAAGGGATGTTGTGTACAAAGCCGTTTTGATCAGGTTCTCAAATGTTTTTTTTTTCGCTTATTCTTGGGTATTTTACTTCTTATGACAGTTAATTAGTGTTTTAGCGCTCAAAATTTCAAACATTTTATTGCGTGCTTTCACTTTTTTGCCTCAACCGAATGGATAACTTTTTTGAATATTAGCTGTATCATTTATCTCTGTGTTAGCATAGAGAGTTTAATAAATAATGTATATTTATTCAATTATACATATCCGTTTGTTCATCAGATTTTAAATTTCATTAATGCAAAACAAAAATCAATTTTTTATGTCGAAATTTTTATTTGTCGATAAAATGATTTTTATATCATTTTTTCAGGATACCATCGAGTAAACTAGGCCGATATGTAATAGATACTTTTGGTTCATTATGGTCAATTTTACCCCAAGTCCTTGTATTATGTGATGATCGGAATGGTTTTGATAAAAGAGTATGATTTATGTTACTATTTTTTATAAGTTAAAGAAAATAATTGTTTTCAAGTTGTTGGTATGTGCCAAAAATGTTTTCACTTTTTTAATAAATGTTTTCAAATATCACCGAAATGGTTAATCTATCTTTTGCAGCCATGGTCATTACCATCATCTGTCTATCAATCACCAGTTCGATCCATATCCAGTAATAATGTGAGTATACCGTCACTTGTGTATTTTATTATAAAGTACTAATATTGGCGAACATTTACAAAACTGATTAATATAATTTCGTCTCATTGATAGAATCAGCCATTCATAACTGCTTTGCAACAATGAAAATGTTTCAGGACATTTCATTACTTTCTTTATATTGTTTTTTAAAACGCTAAAACATTAACTAATCAGAATTCAGTGATAAACTGTCCATAATTTTCTTGAGTTAATGCGCACACAAATTTCATATTTCGTTTTGCAAGGAAGTCGTCTGTCTGTTTGTATTATAATATATAAACTGAGAAAAGATTGACGAAAACTTGAAATTATATTGACGTTATACAGAGATGGTTTATTTTATTTTGCTCGTCAAATAAATTTTATTTCAAGGTAGATGTATTTACTTCTTGTGACACTTTGGAGAATAACAATCCATCAAATAAATCCGCTGAGAGAATTTTCGAATCATTGGTTTCTTCTAATGATTGTACATCAGAGGCAGAAGGTTAATGTCTTTACATCTCATTTACGTGGTAATTTACCGATGTAATTCCTTACATTGGTTGTTTACACAGGTATGGAATCTTCTATTAGTTCGAGAGTTTTCGTGCAAATAATTTATCGAAATTCATAAATATTCCACGTTTAGTAATTAAATCATATGAGTGATATGGATTGGAGTATATTTATGTAATTTACATAGAAATTTATTTCAAATAATATTATTTTACGTTGCAGATCCAAGTTTGAACCAAGATCTTTGTTCACAACCAGTTATGTATCTGGGCGTCGTCATTCTTAGAGAGCCGCAATATAGTATTATTTGGAGTAAAATGCATGGTTTTGTTGCTGTATGCGCTACGGCTGATTTAGTGGTTCGTTGTTAAAAATTCGATATTTAAGGCGCTCCATTGATCTATGTTTACATCTGAGATGAGAAGTGATTCTTTATGTACTTTTTTTCTCTCATTTTTACTCAAACAATTCATGATTAGGGAGTATAGTCACTTTCCATCTCACTCGTGAATTAAATAATATGGCAACGAATATGACATAAACAGTCTAAATGGTATTGAGACAACTGATGATTTTTATTTAGCGGATGATTATCAATTAAATGAAATTTTAAAATGTCATAAGTATTGTGGACTACTGTTATTTTTAGCTGAAGCCATCAAATTGGGTTGAGTACGATTGTATCAAAACTGATACGGAACTAGATGTATCGTATTTAGCGATATACTGTGTGCTAAGTAAACAGAAACCATTAGTGGTGGAGACATACGAAAAGTCTATTATTGTAAGTAAATTCTTATTCATACTTCAGAATATTATTATGGAATTTTTGTATGTTTTCAAAGCTATAATATTTTTCTAGAAAAAAATCTGGCTACAAAAAGTCATCAAACATCAAATATGAAGAATCTCACCTCTTTTAATCTTCAGTATTATTTTATAAATTCAGTGATAATTTTCTGTAAATTTTTTAATGCTATAGCTTTCAGTGCCATACTGTGATACGTGTTCCAAATGAAAGGAAAACTCAAACTGATGTAGGAGGAACATATTTTACTATGGTTTGTGACATTTTAGGAGACGTATTGGTGCCAGACATTCCAGTTGTCCATAGATGCATTAGGAAGAATGAATTAAAGGTTTGCTTTTATTTTTTCTTATTTTTCAGAATCCGTTGATTACGACGGCCTTTGAGAACTGTGTAATTTGAAGATCTGAGAACTTTTTGGAACAATTGTGATTGATCTTCTGGACATATAAAAATACTTATTTTTGTTTAATAAACGCATGCAACATTCAGTGGAAATATTTTTGAAAAAATGGAGCAATTTTTTAAATCTTCTACGCAAACTTTCCTTCTATTTCTTTAAATTTTTTACGTTATTAATACTACTATTTATATTCCTTTTTGAATTAAATTTGTTTCCAGGCCAAAGTACTTGTAAAATATGATGTCAATGAAAAATGGCCATGCACATTGTTTGCTGCATATGAAAATGATGTGCTGAAAATAATCGTAAGCGATTTACGCATTGTCTCAGATATATGACTAAATTGCTCAGAACTTTCAGTTACTTACTGGTTTTTTTACAGGATTGGAAACAAGCAAATATGGAGTGTAAAATTATTCCAGAAATGGACTGTTCTTTAGATCTGAAGATGAGTACTCAGTATGGAAGTGACAAGCTACAGAAATTTTCGGATTCTGATAGGAATGTCGTAAAAGTTTCAGTACTGCAAAAAAATTCTGAGGAGGAAACACATGATGAAAACGATGCTTCCATAAGAGATCGTAATACTCCTTTTTCAAACACAAGTCTTCTCTCAAATGATCTGCAGTCCACAGCAGAGATTACCCAGTGCAGTTCAAACAGTAGCTCTGTTGTCAATGCTGAAAATGTCGAAAGAGCGACAGGATGTGAAGAAAAGCCTGGTCCTTCAGGATTATCATTTATAACAACTCCCGCAGCACAAAAGGCCTGAAATATTTTGGTTCAAAATGTCATAGCTTACTACTCATCCAATCTTCGTAGCACCTTTTTAAATTTGTTTGTAGAAACTCTATTTCCAGATTTCTTTTTTAGATCTTTTATAGTTGTAATTGCTAGTAAGAGATAAATGATTATGATCATTTGTATTGTTTTGTGAAACTCATTTATTGGGCTTCAGTTGGCATAAAACATGACATTATTAATGATATGTAAGAAAAGCGGATGCTAATGTTACAGTTATGATCGTTCTGCATTGTCACTGAAATTCATTTCAGACGCTCTCTGGATGCGGCGAAAATTTTGATTGGCTACAGTTGAAGAAATACACTGTTGGTATGAAGATATTGGTTTGTTCTTACTTTTAATTTTTTAAAATTAATTGCAAAGAAATTAAAAGTAAAAACTTAATCAATGTTGTAAATAATGCAATGTCTTCAAATAAATTTACTAGGGAGAAATAGAGACAGATTATAAACGATATATGTTCGCACTTCGAAATATTACACTAACCCAAGCCAAGTGTTCTGTGTGAGTGTGAAGTGATGCACACTATTCTAAGACTTATCTAAGACTTTTTGAGGATTTAATGTAATGTCACTTTCAGACTTTGCCAGTAACAATACTGGTCAAAATGACTTCCACGTATGGTATTTTATGGCATATTAATCGTAAACTAATCATTGTACCTGCGGAATATTTGGGGTATTTTATTGATTCTGCATAGTTTTAAATAAAGATATAGCTTTTTTGTACATTTTGAATACAAGAAGTTGTGATCAATAGAACGTTTAGTTGTCCGTTCTGTTCATGCCTACCTAATAATTTTCTCTTTAAGTAATTCGGCAAAACTGGGAGCCTGGATGAAAGCGAAAGTATCACCTTTGACTACAACAGTAGTGGATTTGCCTTATCATTTCATTGTGGTGCGCCCTTTAGAGGAGATTGAGAGTAAACTAATGATACGGAAAGTGGGAGATGTTTTGCAGGTATGAAAAGTTATTAGCAACTGACTAAGATTTTTTTTCTTATTTTCATGGAGATTTATTGAGTCTTTTTGCCTGGGACTCTTTTGCAATCTGAGGTTTTTGCATCTGAAGATTTATCAAATTTGCTTTTTAAAGGAGCCCAAGGAATATCAAGAATAATTTATGGAAACTGATCGTAACCTATTTATCATAAGTCATGATAATCATGATCATCCGTGAAAAAGTAATTTAAATTGCAGGTGAGGGTACATCTAGAACCAGGTGTAGAGAGTTATGTTGATATTGACGGAAAATTGTATTTACGAAAGAACTCCGAGCTTGGTCTGGTATCTATACCGTCTGAAAGGCCAGTTTGTACTTATGTATCTTTTCTTAACTTTTTCAAGTTTCATCTTTAAAACTTTCAATCTTTAACAGTTTTTGACCACAATGCATAACATTGGTCGAGCATTAATATTCACACAATTTTTCTTTGTAGAATATCACAAGAATGGTTTATGAAGAAGTTTCGAACATGGGTTACTTTCATGAATTCAGGATTAAACGGCGAGCCAACATGGATGGTTACTCGTTGCCAAAGATTGACTGAGGTATGCATTGTTCTGCATTCCAGTTAGTTGAATAGAAAACTTCCTTTTTAAAATTGTAATCAAACAGTTTACAATTGATCACATCGAGAACATCAGATAGGGTGAGTTTTTTGTTTCCAGGTTGACGAAGATGGAAATGAGTTATCAGATCAGTCTGATATGGCTGTTGGGTCGAAAAAATGACTAGTATTAATGGCGACAAAGGTGTTGGTATGGTCAATTCTCTTTGTTTTTCAGAAATTTGATGTCACTGTTCGTCATTACTGTGTCGGATTCATAACTTACTACCAGCAGGATCTTAGGTTGGTTATATAAATATGCGCCGCAACAGAGTGATGCATGTACTTTTGAAAAAGTACTTTAGATATCAATTGTAATTTCAGAAGTATTTTTTTTACGAGCATTTTAACAGTCAAATAATTCATGATCGAAATTTACATTTATAATTAAGGAATGATCTCTTAAATGACGATATCAAACAGGGAAAAAGGTATGTAGATCTAAACCAATTGAATTTGGCTTGATTATAGCTCAGTGTAAGTGATGCACCTACGCTTGAATTATAATTTATCTCAACTAGTGCTTTAGACTGTATTACATGTCGTTTATTTGTTTTATCTCCAGTTAGCAGTTCAATTTGGCAAATTTATCTTGTTTTGTAGTCGAAACATGTCACACGTAAATCTCAATGTATTCTAGTATTGTTTTGCATTAGTTTTCTTTTTCTTTGAAATTTAATTCGCATTTTCACCCTATTATTTGAAATTTAATTCGCATTTTCATCCGCATTTTCATCCTATTATTATTGTTACTGGCAAGCTCTTTTGCCTCGCAGTATCTAATTTTCCTAATGCACAGCTTCATGGTTAATCACAGCTTTACAGTTTGCTTCAAAAGATATCAGTGATGCAATGATAGTATTGCCAGTGACAAAAAAAGATTGCTTTACGATTTTTATGTGTAATTTGTAAATTAAAGATTGTAAATAGAATTTGCACTTGATATATTTCCCAGTTTGTGTTTTTATGCTTACTGAGACAAAATACATGTCCTCTAAAATGCTACTGCTTTAGACGTTATGTACTAACTGTGTAAGCCTTTTGATTGGTAGAGCGACACTTCCAGCTCTTTCATTCTCTCATTTTTTTATAGCATTTATTGTACTTTAAACTATTCATCCACAAAGGCCTTCCCACACGTGCAGCCTCGCCATTTTCCTATTATTTGGTATGTCGTTTCATTACTGCTCTATCACTCACCCATTCTACAGTTATTTCCGATCATCCTTGCAGTAGAAATAAAATCAGGATTGTACGATGACATTGTCACTGTTACTGACGAAATATGTGGATGGAAATGGTTAATTCTCAAGTAATCAGATTAGTTGATTGGATCAGTGAATCAGATAAATGAAGTGCTAAAAAGAGTTGAAGGGGTTGATTGTTTATGTGAACAGTACTTACTGTAGGATTTATAAAAGAATTGTGTACAAAGTAGCGGAAACATGTAACATAATTGTATAATCTGCTAGGTCAAATTCATCACTTAGATTAACTCCAAGAGTATAGGTAAAGACTGGATAGAATAAGGAGAAGTGCGACGAATTGTATACCGTTTTTAGAAATGACCACTGTTTCATTAATACGCTTTCGAAGGATTGCATTTTCATCAATAAGTGTATTGGAACGTTTTAGTTCAGCTTGAAGCATCTTTTGTACCTAAATTAAAATTATACGTAAAAATAATCAAATGATCAAAAAAACTACTGTTGCAGAAGTGATTTAGATTTTAGAATATGAGAGAATTGATTGCTATTCGGCAGCTGTCACTAATTAACTATGATATCTCAGACATGTAAATTACCTGTTCAACATAAGCTAATGCCTCATCCCACTGCTGTAGCAGAAGTTCATTTTGCTCCAAAAGTTTCACTTTGGATTTTCGTTCTTCTTCTAATTCATCCAATAATTGTACTTCTTGTGTTCCCGTTTTCAAAGCACTGTTCTCATTCACATTTACACATCGTACGGTACTCTCTGATGTTTCCTCCAAAGAGTCCTACAACTTACCCATCAATATTTGCCATAGCTCAAAAATATTTCTGGTATTTAAATTTCTCATACAATTTGGAGTAGAGCAAAGTAAATTGATGAATTAATATGGCGAGGATATAGCTGAAGTCATTCACTAATTTAAGAATGATTGTCTTAATTTTGCGTTAAAAAATGGAAGGATAGGTAGTTCTTACCTGGTCAGGTGAAGATCGCTCAAAATGAAATTGCTCAAGGCGTTCGATAATTTGGCACCTATCAATGATAATAGCATCTTTGCTTCGGATCTGTTCTTCCAAATCAAATATTGTTCGATCACGCTCTCGAATTCGTAATTTTAGCTGTGCTATTTCTAGTTCAAGTTCTATTTCTTTCTCATTTTTTATTTTATCTGTAATATTATTTTGATCATTTTAATCATTTATTAAAAGGTTTTTAATTTCATACAAGTTTGTGTTAATTTATTCATTTTTATAGCACAGTAAAACTGATCATTTTGTCGTATTCGAAGACAAATGGAAAAAATTTTTTTCCTATTATTTATGGTTTCTTTGTTTTTTTTCAAGCCAACCGATATTTTTATGTTTTTTTCAAAAAAAATATATCTTTTAATATTTCCTTCCTTTTTATTTTTACTGAATAGCAAATATTAGTGAAATGAAAAAAAAACAAATAAATAATAGGGATGAACGAAAATGATTAGGAAGGAAAGAGAAATTGACCTGATTCGATGAGTTTCTTTGATGTTGAAGATGCCATAACTTTTCACTTCTTCAATTTTCTGACAACAAATCTTCACTTACAATTTCATTTTCCATTAATTAATGCATAAAATGAGAGTTGATTGAGAGGTTTATCTTTTGAAGTTCCTTGATAGATGATATTTTCCAGCCTACAATTTAACCTATCCTAAATAAATCCTTTGCATTTTCATGAGGAATACTGTCACACATATACCATTTCAGTGCCTGAAATGTTTTATTTGAAATTCAATCCGTCTTTATAATTTTCATCATTTCTTCATTTGCAAAATGTATGGGTTTAGCGAAAAAGCTTTCATCAAACGGTAAGTGAGTTGAACTAATTTTTTTGATAATTACATTTTTTTAGGCAATTATTGTTAATAACTATCGAGATATGCTGTTATATTCCGAGAGAAAAAAAAAAGTAACTGCACAGAAGATTGTAGACCTAATTGCAATATCTATACTATATTACGCATGCAGATAATTGACTAATCTATATCATGATAAAAATGATAATAATTTGCATGTTTTTAATTTATCACCTACATCATTAATTTTTAACTTTAAATATTGGATTCTGTGGAATGGAATAAATAAACCAAATTGAAAAAATATCATTTCAATAAAAAAAATATTTACCACTGATCAGGTAGAGCCGATATATGGTGTGGTATAGTTGCATGATCGTATGTTGATGATGAAATACATACTAATAAAGTTGAAGATACTATTTAAAAAGTTGGAAAAATAATGTAAGAGAAAAACAAAAAGAACGGAGAAATGTGCTGCCGGGTGATAACTGCTTAATTTCACCGTACACATCGAAATTCAATCCGGATGAGAGCGGCTGTTTTCTCAATGTTGTAATACCGCCTCGTTCAACTTAACATTTTTGTTTTTGCTATTGCATAAAAAAAAATTGAAAAAGCACGAGAAATGGCTATATGTTGGAGCGAAAATTGTAAAAAATAAGAATGTATACAACAATAAATTCAACCTTTCCGTTATATTTTTTGTTCTCAGAGCCTTCCTCCAAATACTTCATAAATCATTAAAGTATACAATATATTAGGCAGTTATTTTTTGGATCTTTTTTTTTTGGACTGCTATCATTATCAACTTAATTACCAGTTTATCTTTTGCCGTTTTACAACTCATTTCAAATTTCATCTTTTTTTTTTAATCTAAATGTTATTCCTTTAATTCAAATCAAATACAAAAGAATAAAAATAAATAGCAGTAAATAATTAGTTAGCACAAAACTATGGCACAAGAAATGAATTGAAAAGTTGATATTTATGAAAGATTGTAACCCAGCAAACAAATTTTGATAGAGTAAAAAATTTGTACCAAATCTAAGATGTTATTTTAGCCAGATAAAATTTGCAAATCTTGGCGGCTGAAACTAGAAACTAACCTAACAAATATACAATAATATTATACGAATTATCCGTTAAAGTCATTCAATTGATATCATTATCGTCAAATCCTTACTAACACATATTTAATGAAACGTCACAAAGTTTAGCACTGTAATTGGAACTTTTCTTTTTAGATATATGGTTTTGACAAAAATTTTTTCTGCTTGAATATTTTAATCGGCAGATTTCTTTTAGCTTGAGCAAATTTGAAGAAAAAAACTACTAAAATTAAACTTTCGTCATCAGTATAGTTTCAAGGTTTTTCTCATATTTTCAGAATCAAAAATGAAATTTTAGTGTGAGTGAATAGCAGTTGGTTCATTCTCGATCAAACCGTACTAAGTTCATTAGGTTTATTGAATATATTTGTGAAGAAATGTATCCGACTATCTTCACTAGCCAATGATCCATAATCGATGTATCGAATGAGTGGTAAATCTTCCGGTGTATAAGCGCCTTTTAGCATCTGATGTTCTTGTCTTTTCTGGCCATATTTCTGAAAATTAACAAAATTAAGTCCCAAGTGACGTATAAATAACTTATACGTCAAATGAAACAACTTTTATTCAGATATTCTTACGTCGCCATAAAAATCCAACTTGACCAGACACTATATTGATTAGAGATCAAGATTTAATTGGTACAAGTCTGAGGACACAATCACGAGATTGAAAATGTTGAAGAGTGTAAACGAGGAGCACAGAATGAAGAAGATAGTTCTTCTTAGATTAGTTCATTTGAAAGCCATATATGATTCGATCACATTAAATATTAATTATCAATTAAGGCTTAGAATTTAATAGCATCCTTCCGATACATACATATATAATGAGAATGGTTGAAGTGATTCAGAAATCTTCGATTCAGAAGTTTGTACCTGATGTAAAACAGACGCATATCGCATTAAATCCGGAATATGCACCATTCTTCCGCCAACATTCACAAGCGCATAGCGAGCATCTTTAATGGCCCGTCCAAAATAATGAATTTTGCGAATGTATTGAATTCCAACCAAATCAATACACATTGTCCTGTAGAAGTTAATTTTGGATAATACATAGCTATCAAATATTCTCGAAACTGTAAAAATAAAATAACCAGAAAAACGAACGTTATGGCTAATCCAACGACAATGTAGAAAAGATCAAATAGGAAGTATTCATGCTTGACTGGTACAATATCGCCAAATCCAACCTATAAACAAATCCGATTTAATCAGATTTAAATAAAACATTTGATGCAAAATTTTTTAGATTGAGCAATGAGTATAGAGAATTTAAATAATTAAAAAAAAATATCAGAACAAAAGGAATTCTTATAAACCAGATGACCAATTTTTCAAAATCAAGTTACTCCTGAAATTTTCAAATTGTCTCACTTTACTACTGTTAGCTTCTTTAATAATCCTTCTTAAGATGACAACCTCACACAACATATATTTCGAAAAAGTACAAAATCAAGCAACAATCAAGTAATCGATCAATAATCAAGATGATAAACTAACCGTAGTCATTGTGATAAATGAAAAGTAGAAACCAGAAAAGAAATCCCAATGTTCCCATGAGGCAAGTAGGACAGCACCAATTGTGATATAACCAAGCAGCATTCCAACGATCAACAGAATCGGTATTGAAATATACTGTTCCAGTCCGAACTGCAATTACTGCGAAATGAAATGTGACTCAGATGCTATTTCGAATTAATTATTTAAGTCGAATTAACCTGCAGCAACTGATCCTTTACATTACCATTTATTTCACCGACCACTGATGTGATGCATACAGTTTTCTTCTCTTTGTACTTTTTCTTCGCTTCTGTATATCTGGAATGAATCATTTTAGACTCACATCTCGTAGGCAGTGAATCTCTACAGGTCATTTACTGTTCACTCCTTTGAAATTGAACCCTTTTATAGATCTTAGTAAGTCTACATACTTTGCATACAGCCAAATAATATTTTCACTCAGGAATTTGCCAATATCAGCAACAGTGATAAGTATAAGCGGTACACCAAATAGAGCGTAGATAATGCAAAACATTCGTCCTTGAAATGTTACCGGTACCAAATTACCGTAGCCTATAAATAAATGAGCCAAAAGAAGAAATGAGAGATGAGAAATAAATGATTTAAACTATTTTTCATTAATTTTAACCAATTGTTGTCAGAAGAGTAGCTGTAAAGAAGAGAGCTGTTGTAAAGGTCCAGTTGTATTCCTCTTCCTCCACCAAATCATCAATTGAAGCCATCACAGTGCTACTTCGTAGATGTGAGACGCTAATGTAATGTGTATCGAAGGCTTCAAACAATACACGTGTCACGTTGTCCACGTGATGAATAGCTAAACGTTCAATTTCCTCTGTAAGAAATCAATGAGTTATAAAACGGTTGAAAGATAACATCCAATCAGTTACATTACATGGCCAACTTCATATCGAATGCTTGAGATACACGCCAACTTTACTCAAGAATAATATTACCATAATATAATACTAAGAATATATTAAAATACTAGAATATTCAATATTCTTTAACATATATTAGAATAACTAGAATATATAAACAAACCAGTCTGATTATTTTTCTGAAAGCAAATTTCTCGCATTTCACAGTTTTATTTGTGGTATGTATTTGTATATTCAAATAATTAATTATCTATACCATCTGAGACTGATTCGTCGTTTAGCATAATCCATAACTCATCAAGCATCAATTTTCGTTGAGCAGAAATATCTCGCAAACTTTCACGTCTTACAGCAATCTCATAAGGTCGTTCCAGATAATAGAATGCAAGCGCTCCACCAATTGTATACAGCAACGATAAGATAATAAGACCGACATGAGGCAAAATTATTCTCGCATATTTCTTCCAACCAGCCATATGAATACAAATTTAATTTTATTCTTTGTAGTAATATTTGGTTTTTGAATAGTTCGTAAAATTTGCAAAAAAAAAAATGAAATAAATTTCTAAAAATAGATTATTTCAGAGCAATACATATTTTTTGTGTTACTAAGTTCAGTACAAACTTCAAATTCATCTATTCCTGCACATTTGGCTCTCGGTTCCTGTTCCTCTTTAACTCCAACAAAGTTCACTGGAGGAGAGTAACATCAATTTTTTTTATTAATTCATGCGAATTTTTACATTACAGAGACAAGTGAATCAAATGATCGCGAGATTTAAGATCAAAAATTATTTGCATTTACTAAGTGATTTTCTTCGCCTTTAAAAACTTTTTAACTTAAACTTTCATCAATATAAAAAAATTGCACTAATTTATGCGAAAAAAAATTTATTACCCTTTGGAAATCCATTCATAATTAGAGATGAAACTATAAAAACAACCTAAAATATGACGTCTTCTTCTGTGTGAGAGAAGGATGATAACCGTACTGATAGTACCGAGAAGGAAGATAAGATTTCATTTCCAGACTACTTCATCACCCTAATTTTGAAAAATTTTTTTCAATGTTCATTTTTATCGATGATTATAAACATTATATTGAAAATATCAAGCAAGTAAATATAATTGAACTAGCATGATTGCTACCTAAAAAATATTTCAAACATAAAAAAATGTCTTTATAGGATAACCACAAGGCTGTCATAATATGTATTTGTAAGATTATGGGGCATATCAAGCAGTAAATGAATTTCAGATGATAATCTAAATATAAAGTAAACAAAAA